CCCTTTCTGGTTTGTTTACATTCAGACAAGAGTTCCACAGGCTGGGTTGGCATTGAAACCACCTACGTAGGAGATTTAAGCAGGAAAATGTCCCATGCCCCAATTCTGGTAATGGAGAAGGGGAGGGAATCTGTGTGTGTGGAAGGCACCTTTTGTCAACTGAAAACCATCAACCTTCTCTACGGCTGGCAAAAAGGGTGAAAATGCAATCTGTTGGTTATGAATTGAATTATGTTTCCCCAAAGCTGTAAGTGTTGTAAAGGCAAACCTCTATGTTTATGATTATACTTCCGTTTGGGAATGGATTGTCTTTGATATGGTAATGAAGCAGGATTCCTGTGCGTATATTTTGAGTCAATCTCCTTTGAGATAGAAAAGAGATTAAATAAACAAGCAGCGATCCAAAACCCAAACTCACTGCTATCCACTCACTGCGGACTTCTAATGACCGTGTAGTGCAAGGGTAGAACTGCCCCGGTGGGTTTCTGAGACTATAACTCTTTCCAAAAGTAGTCATGCCACATGGACTTCTAGTCTCCTAAACTGTGAAAAAAGCAATTTCTGTCTGTAAAAGCCACCCACTTTGTGGTATTTCTGCTATAGCAACACTAAGTAGATAACAGGACTATGTTATCTCGAGAAGAATGGGAATTCCAGAACATTTCATTATGCTCATGAGGAACAGGTACATGGATCAAGAGGCAGTTGTGGGAACAGAACAAGGGAATGCTGCCGTTTACAATCTAAAAAGGTGTGCTTGGGGGTTGTACCCACTCACCCTTCTTATTCAATCTGTATGCTGTATCATCGGAGAAGCCGGTCTATATGAAGACAAATATAGATTGGAAGTGGTAGTGAGCCGGTATAGAGACTAAGGAGGGTTGTCTCCCCATTGCCGGCAGAGGGCCACAACAAAGGGGTGGGAAAGAATCAGGCACATTAATTAGACACCTATGGAACGATCCAAACTGAGCATGCTGAGACACAAGCCCCTTAGGCGCAGGTGGGAGGTCCACCTGGGTGGACTAGGCCCAGTCACATGACATCACCCCGGCACTCTTAGAAACTCAGCCAATGAGGTCGTCCAATAGCTTCAACCACGCCTCCCCAGCTGGAGGAGATAAAAACCTGCCACAGGACCCCCCAAGCCTCTTTGACTCCTCTCTTGTTGGGGTGCGCTCTTATAGGTTGGAGGGTGGGGGGCACACATGCGCATTCAAGGCCTGGGACCCGAGTGCCCTTTCAGGCCGCGCTCTCGGGGTGCTCTTTTGGGATTTCCTGTGAATTCCTGAAACTTCCCTTGTCCTCGTAAGAGCCACTTGGATTACAGACGTGCTTCTGCCACCAGAATGCGTTCAGCGTTAGGAAGCACGACCCGAGGTATCCAGTCCAGGACCCTAACACAAGCAGGCCTTCGGAGATATGCAAATGACACAACCTTGCTTGGCCAATGGGAGAAGAACTTGCAACCCTTGCTGACGGAGATTAAGGATTCGAATTTTCCTATGGATGACAACTCCATGTCAAGAAGACCTAGATCCCCACAACTGGACCAACAGGTAATATCGTAATAAATGGAGAAAAGATTGACGTCGTCAAGGATTTAATCTTGCTTGGATCCCCAATCAAGGCTTATGGGAGCAGCGGTCCAGGGGTCCAAAGACAAGTTTCATGAGGTCAGTCTGCTGCAGGAGACCTCATTCGAGGACCGAAGAGCAAACATGTCCCATGGGTCGCACTGAAGCCATGGTGTTTCAGTCACCGCATACGCATGTGCAAGCCGGACAGTGAATAAGGGAGAGCCGGGGCAGAGTGGGCGCATTCGAATTCTGGTGTCGGTGAAGAACGCTGAAAGGACCACGGACTTCCAGGAAGAAGGACTACTCGGAAGAAGTACAGCCAGAATGCTCTGTCGATGTGAGGATGGCGAAACGTGGTCTCCTGTACGTTGGGCGTGTTCTCAGGAGACCAGTTCCCGAAGAAGGGCACCATGCTTCCACCATCCGAAGATCATCAAAAAGAGGCAGGTCTGCAATGAGATGGTGGCGCCGTGGTGGCAACAGTGGGTTCGTGCCTAACGATGGGAAGGATGGCACAGGGCGAGGCAGTGTTTCCTTCTGTGGCACATAGGGTCGTTACGAGCCGGAATCGACAGGATGGCACCTAACAGCGGCGCTGTGTGCCAGGCCCTGCTATAAGGGTTTTCTATATGGATGGCTTTCGCCCATACAGCAGTTCTGCAAAGGCAGTGCTGCCATCATATACAGTTTACAGCTAAGGCACTGAAAGGGCGCGTGCATCGTCAACAATGGAAACAGTTGCTGTGGAGTCGATTCTAATTCATGGGATAACTACGGGGATTACAATGTAAAGTGTTCCCGGAAGTAGATCAGTAGGCCTTTCATTTGCGGAGCCTCTGGACCAGCGGTTCTCAACCTGTGGGTTGCGACCCTTTTGGGGGTCGCCGGAATCATAACACTAGCAAAACGACAGGGATGAAGTAGCAACGAAAATAATTTTATGGTTGGTGGGGGGCGGGTCACCACCACAAGAGGAACTGTGGGAAAGGGTCTCGGCATTAGGCTGGTTGAGAACCACTGCTCAAGATGGTCTTGAAGCTACAACTTTTGAGCTCGCCTCTAAGCCTGTTAACTGACTGTACCACTCAGGGACCCATGAGTGCATTGCAAGAGGACATTGCATTTCCAAAGGGACCAAGCTGGTCAGCAGCAGAACCAGCCAGTGAAGGGGGGTGGTTGGGCTCCAGGGCCTGCACCCGCAACCACAGCGCTCCCGGACTTTTCCTTTGTTTTTTTAATCATTTTATTGGGGGCTCCTACAACTCTTATCACAATCCGTACATCCATCCATTGTGTCAAGCACATTTGTACATTTTTTGTTTTGTTTTGTTTTTTA